ACTTTATAAGACCAGCAACATCCAATTCTTAATTGCTTAACAAAGAAAAGTCCCCCTTCATTTCCCCCATCATACCTATAAATTATTTCCAGTCACGTCGAGTTTGAACATAGGAAATGAAAAATTTGTCGCGTTCGAGGCAGAAATAAAGGCTAAAGGGAAAACAATAGGCTGCTTGCCATGAAACACTGTTTATTGAGAGTTGAAGGAACTTTTTACCTGTAAAAATACATAAATACACAACATGAATACATAGGCTGGCTTATTATTTCTGTTGTGAAGCTTTTATTGAGAATTTATGGTGAATGAGAATTAATAATTGGAATGGCGGTTGTATTGGCAACGTCCTGTCTTTCTTTGTTGCTTTCTTGAGGCTTGAGCTTACGAAATGCTTTCCTTTTGAATTGAAAAATGGACTTGATTTTGGGCTATGTACTTGGAACCCCTGTTTCTAGTCCTTGTCTGTTGCTTTAAAGACATCCTTGCAACTGCTAAGCTTGTGACCTGATTGACCAAATCCATTACATCACGAAATTAATTAAGAATTTTGACAAATGCAATTGTTCCATAGCATTAAGCAATAGTAAAATTTTAGGTGCCATACTTAAAGTTTCAAAACGTGATCCACTTATCCAATAAAAATTGTTAATTGGATGAGAGCATTAAAATAACAAAAGACCTTTTAAAAGTATTTAAATTGACCAAAATATTAATTATTTCATGATGTCTAAATGAGGCATTGAACTAATAATTGCCATTTATCAGCAGCTTAAAATCGAAAAATCTCATCCATTTCACCTTCAAAACCGAAAACTTTTCAGCCACAAACAACAAGCAATCGTGAATTTTAAGATGCTCAAAAATGTAGTTCAATAAACTCTTTGCCAACATTTTCGCATAAGTCAATGAAACATAAACATATATACTGGGCGCTTTCTCAGAACTGACTGTTGCGAAGCTTTTAGACTGCGAAACTGAAAAAAAAAACTTTTAATTCTTAAGAAAAATGAGACTTTTTGGTACGAACAATGTGGAAGAAAAGAAAGAAAATTTTTTGCTTTCATTCCAATTTGTAATGCACACGAGTAGCTCGAGTGTATGCATACTTACTTGAATTATTTCACTTGATGCGATTTAAAACAAAATTTTTTAAAAGAACCGTTAAATATTTTTTGTCTTTACTTTGCTTCGTTTTGATTTTGTTGAGTTATTTTTGTGGATGCAAAAAATTTTGAGTTGATTTTGTGACTAGATATCTCAATTCAGCTCAAGTTTGCTTTAATTCAGCACAAATTCGCTCAAATTAAGCTCAATTTTGCCTCAATTCAGCACAAATTCGCTTTAATTCAGCTCTAGTCTGCCTCAATTCGATCCAATTCAGCACAAATTTGCCTTAATTCATCACAAATTCGCTTAAGTTTGCTTTAATTCAGCACAAACTCGCTTCAATTCAGCACAAACTCGCTTCAATTCAGCATAAATTCAAATCTATTCAGCAGGAATTTGCTTCAATTCAGCACGAACTTGCTTCAATTCAGCACAAATTTGCCAGACTTCAGCATAAAAAGCTATATTCCAGCAAGAGCTTTTTTGCATCCAAAACTTCACAATCCCAACACAATCTCAAAATAAAATATTGAATGTCTCAGAACCGCGATTGATTTTCATTAACAACACTTACGCGTGATTGCGTGTGAGAGAGAAAATCGAGGTTTGATTACCCAAAAGATATTTCTATGTATTAAGATGGCCAAATACAACTTGGACACTTTCATATTTTTTTTGTATGTGCGATTTTTCAATACTTACTATTTTTGGATAGAACGAAGAAAAAAGGTGAAAGATCTCTGAATGAAAATGGAAGTTGTTGAAAATATTTTTGCTTTTAATATTTGATGAGAAAATTAGCAGACAAATGTTATGGCATGTTGGACTTCACGGCTACTTGATTAGCAAGATTTGCTAGGAAATAAAATCAAAAATTCGCTGATTAGTGCTTAATAGACTTTAAACACAATGGTAGTAAGAATAAAAATTAAAAATCGAGTTCTTTTCTGTGTCTGGCTTAAATGATCTCGTCATGCAGTTCTGATGCAAATTTTGATCTTTGGATGTCTAACGTTGAATTTCCATAACAAAAAAAAATCTTGTTCTGCATGCGTGACCTACCCCTATCCGCGAAAATGTCAAAATAGCCATAACAATAACAATAACTATCAATCAAACGAGTCTGGGAATAAAAATTTTAAATAAACAGATTTTGATGCGATTTCAAGTTTGATAAAAAAATGTTGCCAAGCAATTTCGTCTCAACTTTGCGTGTCTCCAAGGCTTTATGGAAAATATTTAAATTTATGAAAAAGCTATAAAATCAACAGGTTAGTCAAAGTTCTATGAAATATTATCAAAAGTGTTATCAGGTGCTGAATCTTTGAAATTTTAAGGCCGATTAAGAAATTATGATTTTTTAATTTATTGAATTTTTTTCAAGGCTTTAGAGACTTAAGATTACTTAAACGCTTTTTCTAGATTGATCCAGATGATTGATAGTAATGATTTGACATACTCCCAAATTAGTATGATAAAGGGCTGAAGACACCACCATAATGATAAAGTCTATCAAAAGAGTTGGTTCATTAAAGCATGATCATCTACATATGGTTTGCTTACTAAATGATTCTCAAGTTTTTTAAAGTCGTCATAATAATCGTAAGCTATCAAATAAATATCTAAATGTACAAAAAAAAAACGTTTTTATTGCATCTCTAGAAACCATTAAGTTTGAATATTATGAGTTTGCTTGCACAATCGATTCTAATTTTAGAATTCAAGAGGATATGAGAATTAAAATTTAGTACTTAATTATACCAGTTGATCAGTTGAGGATTTGCATATGACAAAGTTGAGACTAAGAATTTTTAAGGTGATTTTAGAGGATGGTCTTGAAATGAATAGTTTAAATGCAAAATGCCAGTCAATGAATTTTGGGAAAATAATAAAGTTCTAATTTATGCTACTTGTGTTATTTGTGTATCACACAGCTGTTCCTGTTCGAGATATGATTGGTGAATATCGAGTGGTTCTTAGAACAGTTGAGATGGGACTATAAAGAGGGGGGAGGGGGGGTCGGATTTAAAAAATAAATATATTGACCAATAATGACTAAAGTTATTTTTCAACTAGATTTAAAATCCATCCTCATTAAAATTTCCAAGATACATCAATTTAATTCAAATTAATTAAAAACCAAGCACTTAAAATAAATCCGCGAGTCATTCAAGGAAGTTATTTAACAATCTTATTATGACATTGTATATTTCTCATTTATTGTGTCATCAGGAGTAATTTTCTACAATCTCTTTGTATTGTAACTTATTAGCCATCCACATTCACAGCCTAACAAGCCGTGAAACTCTCACTAATACCTTCAAAATAAAGAAGAAATTTGCAAAAAAAAAAGCTTCTTGACATTGAAAGCAGAAAAGATGGAAGCAGAAGAAAAGAGAGTAAAGATAGACAATGTTTGGCTCTCATTTTACCGATCAAACTTTTACCACCACGAGCATCTTCGTATGTATGTTAAGCTTGTGTTCAACAAGAAGGAAAAAAAAAACCAGAAATGAAGTAAAAAGAATGTCAATGAACTCTTGCATACTTATTCTTGTGTGTGCTGTATTTTTTTTCGCAGAGATCACAAACTTGCTCAATTCAATGTTATGTGAATTTCTCTTTGCTGTGTAAGTATGCTTAGAAGAAACTATAGAGAAGAAAGTATGGAAATTACATATTTGAGAATTGAATAGGAGCTTTTGTAAGGAAGCTTATGAATAGCTTGTTTAGACTTAGAAGTATGCTGTCTTTTAAATCAAGCTGGTGGTCTCATCCAGGACAAACCTACAACATTAAGCACCTCTTTTGCTACACAAAAACTGCATCCAAGAAAGTATTACAAGAACTTGACTTTGTGTCTTACATTTCTCTTCACCACATTGCCTTGCATTTGTATTTGTGTTTGAAAAAAAGCTGCAAAAATGAAGCAAGTATGCTGCTCAAAAAAAGAGATCTCTCAAAAGTATGAGGAAATGATTTTCTGTTGCTGTAAGAGAAAGAAGTAAAAAATTATTACGCGAGATGATTAAACTAAGAAAAAAAAATAAATTGAGTGCTTTTATTTCTCTTTGAGCGAAAGAGTCATTGACACACATTTTTGTATAGGCTGCTTCAGGCCTTGCTAGTTGTAATATGAAGTTCAAGTTTCGTAATAGAAAAACGCAATCGTTCGTTGATCTCGAACTACTTTTTTTTCTCTTCTCTTCTCTGCTTGTGTTTCGGTGTTGATTTCAATGTCTGGCTGAATATATTTTCTTCTATTTTATATGATTTTTCTAAGCACAAAAGATGCGAAGAAGAAGGAATTAAATTTCTGAGTTTATTGGCTTTTTGATGCTTTGTGGATTTTTCACTTCTTTTGTGAGAACTTTCATTTTGGTCAGTGAAGTTCTTTGGAAATCAAGAGGATTTGATCTAGAAGATTTGAGAAAGCTTTGATTGAAGAAGATTAGAACAATCGGTTCATATTGATTTTTTTAGACTAATTGCGTGCGCAGGGATTGATGATAATCGATCATGTGAATTTTAGGATCTTCCTTTATTTTTTTTAGTCAAAAACAAATTTTTTGGAGGCCACTTAGCTACCAAACCTCATAAATTCTTGACATTTATCTTCAAATGACCTTCCTTGTTGTGCATGATTTTAAAAGACTTCTAAAAATCCATGAAAAAAAAATCCAAAACATTAATTTTGACCCCCAAAAAGCTCCAACCGAACAAGAGTTGAATGAACTTCAAGCACGAAAGTTTATTGCTACATTTTCATCATCCACACTTCAACTTCAATTTATAGGTCACTATTGAACCTATATTCCTATAAAGTCATGATTTTTAAAAATATTTTTATGTGGCAATTTGTAGCACATAATTTATGCCCGTGTCTGAAATTATGGCAAAATTTTGAAAGTATTTCTAATGCATGATTTATCGCTCGAAAAAAAACTCACGTGTAGGACTGTTGAGTCAAAAGAGGAGGAACGTGCTTTTTGGCTAGAAATGCTATGATAAGTGGATGAATAGATATGAACCAAAGTGACTGAATTTAAATTGAAAATTTTATTTTATCAAACTTCACACACGTGTACATAAATAAAAATTAAGGCAGAAAACTACGAAAAATTTGGACAAAAATTAATTTATGGCACAAAAACATTTTTTTAATCTCCACAAGTTTGTAATTCATCCTCAAAATCCAAAGCTCGAATGAATTTATGCCAATCAATGTAACTTCCTTCATCAATTTCAAAGTGGAATTGATTTTTCTGTAAAGATTAAAATTTTTGAGGATAATAAGCATCAGAAATCTATCAAACTCACCTTAGGATTGATTGGTGGCACTGGCGTTGCTTTATAACTCTTCAAATCAATAAAATGCAGGAAATCTTTAACTTCAAATTCATTATTTCCATTTTTGTTGAGCACTGCGAAAAGTTGTTGGACTATTGCTTTATCCAAAGGAACTCGACATCCTCTAATGACTTTTAAGAGATCCTTTTCATTCAAATATTCAGTATTATTTGGTGACAAATGATAAATAAATTCTTTCAATCGATCCACGTCACTCCAAAGTTCTCTCCAAATTTCACCCTGAACAATCGATCGAACCATTTCCCTGAATTCCAGCGGAGTTTTCTTTGTTTGAATCGCGAAATGCCTGCACAATGTGACAATTTCTTGTTCCGTAATTTCATCTTGAAGCAACTCACGAAGCATTATCTTAAAATCTTCATAATCAATAAATTCTTGTGTAAATTCACCATCTTTGTGAACTTTCACTTTAGTCATGTAGCATGCAATAAAATCCTTATAGATTGGACGCAATCTTTCACGAATTTTAACAATGATCAAATGTGGATGACTCATCGGATACTGAAAATTGAGAGAAATTTGGAAAATGAGTTCAGATTTTGAGAAAAATAAAGTCATTGATGAATCATCCAAAATTTTGGAAGTGAATGAACTTTTCTGAGAAAAGTCTATGACTTGCAAGCTAAATTTTGGCTATAGAACAAGTTTTGGTCACCAAAATACTTACAACTTCTTTATTGTCTTCCATAAACTTGAGTGCAAACAAATCAGCAGAAACAATCTTAAAGATGAAGTTCCTCAAATTTACAACAGCACCCAAGTAAAAATCTTGAGATTTATAAGCAACTGGACGCTCACTTGTGTATTTATCCTGACCAGGCCAGTAAAACTTTGATTTTCCAAAGAATTCGCCTCCTCTGAAGCCCAAGTTTCTGCATGAAAGCTCATAAACTGCGATCGTGTCTTCACTAAGGTAATAGCTGATGATGAAGAGTCGATCGTTATTTTCCTTAATTGGGGAAATCATTTTAGCTCCGAAACGAATGACTAACCTGGAGATTAGGTTGGAATTGTAAAGTTTTAGTCCTCAACATCTTAAAATCATATAAACTTACTTGTCATACTCCAAGAACTTCCTGAAATTTACCTTTGGCATTTTCGGTTCAATTCCAGTACAATTTCCTTCAGAATCCTCAAAGCTACCCCATCCATTGTATGGTGGATATTTAAATTCTCTAGCAATTGGCTCACATGGCTTATAAGAAGAAGGAGTAGATATCGGGAAGAACTCTTCAATTCCATACTTTTTTTGATAATATTCTCTAGTCTTTCCATCACAGTCAGTAAGCACTACATATCGTCCATAAACATTGATGGATTTACCAATTTGCAAGTCGGTTTCATTGTAATATTGGGAACTGTCACCAAAACTTACTTCTCGTCTGTCTTTTAAGAATCGTCCTTTGATCATGTTCTTGCCGAGGACATTAAGGACGACAAAGTTTTCTTCGCCAACAGGTTTAATTGTGCAGGCGCTCTGGAATTGCATGAAATTTAAAAAGGTAATAAATAGCCTTAAATCTACTAATTCACAGTCAACTTACCCTTGGCAATTTAGCCCTCTTTAAGAACATCCCATTCGAATGTCGTCCACTATTTGGCTGCAACTTCTCCTTAATCTCAAATGTATCATCAGACAAATGAAACAGAACTTCTAGATTCCTAACATCATCATTGTCATTCCAATAAGCAGAAAATCGCAAGACTTTTCGATCATTTTGAAGGAATTTAGCGAATCGGAAGTCTTTTGAAGTTGCATGCTTTGCAGCCATGCTTGCTTTTTCTGCTTTCCTTATTTCAGTAACTGGATCCTTTGGAATTTCAACAGCTGGTGGTACACAAATTCCAAGACGATTAAGGAAGTTCCTTGTGAATGTGTCACACTCTGTAATGTGATAGACTCGGTCCAGAAGAGTTATTGTCTTGTCTACATTCATGTCTAAAAGTGATACATTAACATCTGAATGCAATGAATGTCCTTTTCTGATCCTCTGTCTAGACACAATACATTGAGAGCTTGATTCTGACTTCAATTCCGTGATTTGAATTGTATCGTCATCAAGGAAGTAAGAAATTTTGACTTTTCTAATTTGGTATGGAATTCGATGTTCAGGCACAGTTTCCTTGAAATATCCAAAGAATCTTAAAACTTGTTTCTCAAAGACAATCCAGGCTGGAACTAAGCCATGTTGAGAACGTGGAAACAGAGATTCTTCTGATTTTGATGGATGCATGAGCTTGCCTGACAATGATCGCTTGTTGCCCTGGAATTAAGAAGTCATTAATGATGCAGATCACTAGCATGTCTTTTATTGCTTACCTCAGCTAACATAGGAACTTTATTAAAAACATCAAAATGATGAGATTTCCTAAAAGTTGAGCTGCTATGCGATCGTTGAAATTGTGATGGATAGTCACCCAAACACAACGACAATGTCAATGGAGTACATCGATTCATGTCTTGACCCACTTTATTAAATTTTTATAAGAATTTTCAATAAAATTAAAAGAACTTTTCAATCCACAAACGATTAAACAAAATATTTGCTGTAGAAAAAAATAATAAAATGGAAAAATTTCCAAGGATACTATTCTATTATAGTGGTATGTTGGAGACGGTGTTATGAAGTTTTTGTGTTGTGAAGTTGTAAATTTTGTTGTTTATCGATTGGGTTAGAAATTTGATATTTTTGATGAATGTCGGTGACTATAAACATGTAAGTCGTCATGTGTGGGAATTAATGAAGGGGGAATATTTTGTATGCTATAGATCAGCTGTTTGGTTGTGTTCTTTGACACATATTTCTATAAATCCTTCGTATTTTGTAGCCATAAATAATATCACGACAAAATAACTTAATTTCATACCCAAAAAATCCATCAAAACAAATTATAATCCTAGTCTGCATGCTTCTCACATTGAAAAGCTTCGAGTTCATTGGCCTTTCTCAATTCCAACCTATTTTCCATTTTCATAAAAAAAAAATTCAATTTTACAATTTTTTGGACATAAATTCCATTTGTCTACAGTATCATGTAGTATCATAATAACAAAACTAAAAAAAAAAAATATAATAAAATAGCGAAAAGAAAATAAGTAAAATCATTAGCGAAAACATATTCCGTTATTTTAATCGAAACTGATTTTATTTTGTTTATGCAGAAGAAGAATGCACACGAGTAAGTTGAAAAACAGAAATATTTTAAAAAGAAAAATTGACAACATGGGAATGGTGCAGGGGGTTCTTGATGATTTGGGGGTCTGGAGCGCATTTGATGAATTTTATGTTTTAAGTTTTTGATGAGCTGTGGTGAGTTCCCGCTGAATTGTGTTGAGTTTCTCTTGAATTGTAGTAAGTACTGCTGAATTGTGGTATGTTTTGCTGAAATATGGTGAGTTTTGCTGAATTGTGGTGAGTTTTGCTGAATTGTGGTGAGTTTTGCTGAATTTTGGTGAGTTCTCCCTGAATTGTGTTGAGTATTGCTAAATTGTGTTGAGTTTCTCTTAAATTGTTGTAAGTTCTGCTGAATTGTGGTGAGTTTTGCTGAATTGTGGTGAGTTTTGCTGAATTGAGATGAGTTTTGCTGAATTGTGGTGAGTTTTGCTGAATTGTGGTGAGTTTTGCTGAATTTTGGTGAGTTCCTCCTGAATTGTGTTGAGTATTGCTAAATTGTATTGAGTTTTGCTTAATTGTGGTGAGTTTTGCTGAATTGTGGTGAGTTTTTCTGAATTGTGGTGAGTTTTACTGAATTGTGGTGAGTTTTGCTGAATTGTGGTGAGTTTTGCTGAATTGTGGTGAGTTTTGCTGAATTGTGGTGAGCGTTGCTGAATTGTGGTGAGTTTTGCTGAATTTTGGTGAGTTTTGCTGAATTGTGGTGAGTTCCTCCTGAATTGTGTTGAGTATTGCTAAATTGTGTTGAGTTTCTCTTGAATTGTCGTAAGTACTGCTGAATTGTGGTGAGTTTCACTGAATTGTGGTGAGCTCCTCCTGAATTCTGTTGAGTATTGCTAAATTGTGTTGAGTTTCTCTTGAATTGTCGTAAGTACTACTGAATTGTGGTGAGTTTTGCTGAGTTGTGGTGAATTGTGGTGAGTTTCACTGAATTGTGGTGAGTTTTGCTGAATTGTGATGAGTTTTGCTGAATTGTGGTGAGTTTTGCTGAATTGTGGTGAGTTTTGCTGAATTGTAGTGAGTTGATGATTAGCTTGCTCAATTGATGCTGAAATCATCAAAATTGAGTGAAATCCAACTGAAATTACAAAAGTAAGCACATTCATCCAGCCAAGACTCACCAAAAATGCACCAACTTACCAAATTGATTCCACAAAATCCAGCACCTCAAGAAAGAAGCTCAAGAGCACACACACTACACAATAAAGCTTAACTAATTTAATTTCGTTCAAAATGAAATTAATTTCCATTGTGCATTTCTTTCATGAATGTATGAGGCATGGAAAAATGATGCCACAGAACTTCTTGTTGTTTTCAATTTTTCAGGGCGCTTCGACAGCACCAAACAAGCAAGAGAAATAACTTTTCAATATTATTATGTTTGCTTTAAAAATAATATTTTTTTGCGGTCATTTGTTGTGGTTGTAATTTATTTTTAAGAAGAAGAACTTAGTTCGTTTTGTTTGTTTGTGCTGCCAAATTGGCGGTTTATTTATTGATGAATTGAGCCATGAAATTTCTTTACGTTAACATGAAGCTGTTAAATTTTACTTTGGAGATTTTTACAGTCGAAGAAAAGTGTTTTTAAATTCTTTAATGAGATTGTTAAGGATAATTATCGAATTAAGGCGGTTATGGACGCACTCTTTGCATGCAGAAATTTTCGTGTGAATTTTTGAGGTCGGATTAGCGTCAAAATGAGCTAGTCTGGTCTATATTGCAATTTTTTTAAATTACAGCAAATAAATTCCCTTCACAAACTTCCATCCAGTTCCAACATTCATCAAAATAATTCAGCCTACTTGAGAAAATTTACAAAAAAAAATCAATTTAAGTTCCTTCAGAAAAAAGATCAATCTCTTTCTTGTTTGATACAAAATGAACAATCAATTTCAATGAGCTCACATTATGACCCGCTTTTCTCCATAATCAGTGTACATGAACATATTGCTTTTGGTCATTTTTGTTGTGCTTCAGATAGAGACTTTTTTTGAGTTTTGTCTCAACTTTTATCAAGAATCCAATTTTATGAAATTTTTAAATTTTAAAAAATTACTTTTGAATTTTTAAAATTTATTATTTTGGAATTTTTGAGTTTTTTGAATTTTTGAACTTTTGAATTTTTGAATTTTTGAATTTTTAAATTTTTGAATTTTTGAATTTTTGAATTTTTGAATTTTTGAATTTTTGAATTTTTGAATTTTCGAATTTTTGAATTTTTGAATTTTTGAATTTTTTGAATTTTTTGAATTTTTTGAATTTTTGAATTTTTGAATTTTTGAATTTTTGAATTTTTGAATTTTTGAATTTTTGAATTTTTGAATTTTTGAATTTTTGAATTTTTGAATTTTTGAATTTTTGAATTTTTGAATTTTTGAATTTTTGAATTTTTGAATTTGTTGAATTTTAATATTTTTTTTAAATATATTGTTTAAAAACTTTTAAAGTTAAGCTTTCCACAAAATTCACACAAAATCACTCCACAAGTCATCCCACAAATCATATTGAAAAATTTCCCCAGCATTTTTTTCCATCAACTGTAATGTCTTCCTGGTTCTTTATCGATTAATGAGCTTTCTGCTTGCAAACTATCTATTTATTTGCAAACATCATGAAGCCTATCATCATCTACCAATCCATCTATCCATGATACTTAAACCATCTCATTTGCCTTCTTTTCCCCTTTTTCTTCGCAAGTTCTTTCTCATTCCTTTCCTAGTTTCTTTCATTTCTGTCTCTTTTTTGCTTCTATTTCTTCAAGAAAAAGAAGTAGAAATAAGCATAAAAGTTTACATCAGTTCATTGAACTTGTTCTTCTTTCTTCTCCCAATCATCGTATTCGCATTTCTTTCACTTCTCTGTATCTGTTGTTATTTATTCTCTTTCCTCGCACGACTATGATTTTTTTGGGCTTTTTTGGATTGTAGAAAATTCAGCACCAATGATTTAAGAGATTTTTTTGTTGCCATGGTATTGTAGGTTTAAAATTATTAGAATGAATGGCAATAAATTTGAATAAGTTGGGTGGGAAACGATGTTTGTACGTAATTTTAGGGAGGCATCAGAACTTCCTTAACATGTCTTTTTCAGTGGGTTAAATGTTTTATGAGATAATTTTGTTAATGACTGGCTAGATGCTTTGATTTATGGAAACTCAAAAATTTTGGAAATAATATTATTACAACCTTCACTCAATAGTCTCAAATCAATTTTTTTAAAAAATAACTGACCATCAAAAGTGAGTTTTTCTTATTTTTTGCACACATCCGGTTTCCAAAGAAATTCCTCAAAATTCTCCAAGAAGAACCTCAGTTTAAAGAAGATTATTAGATTAACAAACAAGCTAGAAAAGCCATGAATGAAGAAATGTGATAAAATCACTTCTTTTGAGGGATTATAAATTATTTTACAATAGAAAAACCAACAGTTGATTTATAAGCCGTTGTTCTTACGAGAATTTGAAGTTATCTTGGAAGTAATCTGACAAATCGACTTGTAGAACATGCTGTCAATTTGTTTGCATGACAGACTAGATGATTGGATGGAAGTGGTTGGAGAGAAGTTGTAATTGATCTTGTTCTTAGATATTATGTTAGAACTTCTAGTTTAGAAATTGATTTGGTGATTTTCTGGTGGATACGACAAAATCAGCTAGAATTGTGGATGTTAAAAAATATGTAGCACATGAAGTATGTAAAGTTTAATTGATAACGATAGTTTCAAGTTCATTTGTGGTATTAGGAGGGGGAGGGGGGGGGGGGGTTGTATTGAATACAGAATTAATGGCTAAACTTGCTTATTTTCATACTTTAACCATCGCAATTTCCAAAGAACTCAACAATGTATTCAGCAAATTCTATTTTCTACAAAATCATTATTCACAAGACTAGAATTATTTCAATTAAATCAATTTTCATTTCACCTCATCTCTCAAAAGTTTTTTTCATTTCTCTTTATATTCATTATTCTTTTCATCTCATAAATCAGCATAAAATTATCTAAGACAAAAAGCATAAAAGAAATTTTTTTAAATTAACAATCCAGAACTTTTCCTCTTTTATGCTTTATTTCTTCATTCTCGTTGAATAATTTTTGCTGTTGATTGCTGATTAATGAAATTGAAAAGATTCATCAAGAAGAGCCATAGCGAGAAGCATTGAAAGAGATCAAAAACCTCAAGAAAGAAAATGTGTTTACCACCGAAAAAAAAGTAAATTTTGCTCATTGGCCCGCCGTTCACTCACTTTTCATTATAAGTATTTTCAATTTTTTACCGTTTTTAAAGAGCTGAAA